GCGACCATCACGAAATTCGTCACTGAGATTAACACGACAGCGTTTGAATTCTGCAAACCAGCTATAAATAGTCGTCTTGCATGGTGTTTCATCGCCGAAAGCAGTTTGAAGCCGAGCGAAGCTCCGCTGAGCTGTTCAACTACACTTAAAGTCGTAGAAAATCATACTACGAAAATTTTCACGAGTTAAATCCATGGTGATGTAGACAACCAATTTTTAAAATGACGCCACAATATAAAATCAAGTGACAGTCAGATGAAACAAACTGTATTCTACAACCAAAGAGTTCCATTTTCAAATGTTGTAATTACTTTTTAAATATTGTTTATGTGAGTGGCCAGTTCCGTAAACTTATAGTGCGCAACCTATGTAGGTTGCTGCAAATAGTATTTTATTGTTGTTGTTCTAACTTTAAATGTATCTACATTATGTTTATGACAACAACTTGGTCCTTCGCTTTGGTCATCAGAGTTGTAAAGAAAAGATATGTCAGTTTGGAGCAATGAGATGTATTTTCATCAGGCAAGTATTTCTTATTATATACATCATTTATAAATTATGAACAAGATTGAAAAATGCAAAACATTTTCACCCCTTTGTGTTTTATGGTATTAGCAATTTTTATATGAAATTGAACAATGAAGCAGGTAGGAAATATTTTTATATTTATTTGTATTTTTGTTTTTACCTAATAGATTTAGATTTTTTTTTCTCAAGACCTGCTATGCCGTTTGTACCTGATTCAGCAATAATATAAATAAAAAATGTATTTATGAGTACAATGCATGGCTGATCGTAATTAATGGACGTGCTGTGGAAGAAAGCCTTCTGGCTAAATGGCACATCATGGAACGCATACCTATACATATACAATACATACATGTCCTTTAGATTTGTGCCCTGCGCTGCGGCGCGGCGGCACCGCCCCGACGAAATTAACCAGCTTAGAAACGGCGTGGGGAAAATTTGTTTAATTAATGAAATATTAGCTTCATTGTTAATTTTTTTTATTATGCCAAGTGACGGGACGAACAAGTTGTGAGCCTGGTGGTAAGCGACACGCCTGTCCATAGCAGTTGCAGTGTCACTCAGAGCTTTAAGTTGCAATGATCTGACGGGGCGCTGCGCCCGTCACCTAATGTTGTCAAGGCCCATGTGCCTGTAATTTCACTAGCACCCTTACTATTCAAAACGGAACGCAGCAATGCTCACATTACGGCTTGACGGCGGAAATAGGTAAGTGGTAGGAAGGTGGCAGTACCACCTTCGACGACTCCGTGAAAAAAAAAAATTACGTTCCTGTCCACGTACATGCTGTTTTAGTGATTCAAATAAAGATAATTTTTTATATGATTGTTTTTTTTAAGAAACAGTCTATAAGTGGATTATTTTTAGTAATAGTAAGTACCTACCATATACCTGCGTGTTCAATATGATAACGGTTTCAGAATGCTGATGGGACTACGAGGGCATTGTAGCGCATCCTCGATGTTTGCTCTAGCGGAAGTAGATGACTTTTTTGCTGTGATGCGAAACAAAAAGGCGTCACTACTCTCGAGGCTGCGTTCTAGTCCTAACAGCATTCTGATAATGTTTGCGGCTAAGCTTGATGCTTCAACATTTTATCCAGGTTCTGGTGAGATCATGAGGTTATCGGCGTCTCGAGCGGTAAGTTGCATATACGTGTTCTTGTGTTTGTCAATGTATTGTCCCGTAAATTGTACCTACTAACAATAGCTTTAAGTTTAAATGTTCTGTATCTTTTTGTATTACTAACGAGTGGGCCATAGATGTCCAAATAAATGATTTATTATTATTGTATATTTAGTATATAGCTAAAATATAAAAAAGAATTAAAATTTTAAACAAAAGTTGGTTTGAACCACGGAAGAATTTATGTGGTCTGTGGTTTAAACAATAATTTAGCGATTTTTTAAATGCCTATCACGCACCCGCCGCCGCCCGTCGAAATATCATCAGACGCCGCCGCCAAGAAATTTACGATCAGCGCATGTGTCTAATCCTTAATCGATTTCTAAGGAAACAGTTATTACTAAAAACTTTATGTAAATATTTTTTTTAAATATTCTAATAAATAAATTACTGTCGACTTAACAAAATCCGACATTACGGTACAGAATAAAACCTGTCACAGAAAGCACACGTGCTAAAACTTTAGAGGATGGAAAAAATAAAGGAAAGGAGCTGCCTTAACTACAGAATGAACGTACATATTAAACAAAAATTGAACGCTACAAACATTGACTTGTAAGTCAATGGCTACAAATGGCGGATTTCTTTAGTGTTGTACCATAATCAATCGTTAAATCATTATCGACATGAAAATGTATGGCTTGAATGTTGAAACTGTTTTTTTTTGTTTCTTTAGTTCATTGTAATCAAAGTATGATTAAAACGTTCAATTAGAGTAGACCAATATTCCATTTGGGAAAATCTTGTTCTATTTCTGATTATTCGCAGAAATAGAACAAGATGACATTTTGTTAATTTATATGTACTTTCTTTGTTTTGTGTTAATTGTGCCAATTCTTATGAATTGTGTTAAAAAAATAGTAGGCATTTCATATGCGGGCGGACAAACGTATGAACACTATTGGCTGAGCGCCTTTATTTGCGAGAAGCGCCAAATGAGCTCTATATACGTTGGCGCTCGCCTGCACTTGGTCAGCTAGGCGAGTGACACCGAACTATGGCAAGGCATGGCGCTGGTATTGGCCTTCACCCCGCAACGTTGGATAAACATGTCATTGTATTGCTGGCTTTAAAAAATAGTATTATTATTAAACAAGGAAAGATACTGACATATAAAGAGGCTGTATGGTGGAACCTTTCCATACCCAAATAAATGGTGGAAATTTATAAAAAAAAATTGCGTAAATATTTGCAATTTTGATTTCGCTATAGTTTCGTTAAGATAGAGGTACAAATTTTTTTACTTTAAAGTACTAAATAGTGCAATTTTGGTACCAAATATGTCAGGATTCGTTATGATGCACACGGCACTCTGAAATCTCAAAATACTTTGTCTTATTTCTCAGAAACTAATTTTCAGTGATTGAGCTGGAATTTTCTTTTACTTCAGAGTATTTTAAGTACAAATTTTTGGAATAAGAAGTTTTTTTAGTTATTAAATAAATACTGCTAATCCGAGGTATACCCGCTATATTGACAGTCAATACGGCGGGTGTACCTTTGATATTGCTATAACTTCGTTCTGATGGAGGTACAATTTTTTTAAACAGAGGTACTAAATAGTACAAATTAGGTACATTTTTTTGATACCAAATTTGTCAGAATCTGTTAAGGTCACAGACCACATTAAGGTTGTGACGGTGTGACCTCCTTAGACCTCTTTGTATCGCCTCTCTCCTCTTGTATCTTATCATTGTTTTTATTTTACTTGTATTTAAATTTGAATTGTTCCATCTTCGTTCACTTTCTCGTTTTGTTTTCGTACCACGGTCACCCCCAGCCCGACCGCCACAACAGTCACAGCTGTTAATAAGCTAATCATGTGTAATAATTTATAAGTCTACACCCTTCATGTATCTATTTCTGTAATTCAGTTTCTCGGCCCATTTAGGGGTAAGTGCGTTAATAATAAAGTGTAGGGAGTGTTTTATACGTCGTGCTACTCGAATCATAGGCGACGAAGAGGTCTCATCACGCCTTGAACCTCTGCAACTGCGTAGAGATGTTGCATCGCTTAGCGCCTTTTACCGCATGTACCATGGTGAGTGCTCTGAAGAGCTGTTCAACCTCATCCCCCCTTCCCCGTTCCTGCTCAGAAGCACGCGTGCTGGCCTTCGTAGTCACCGTTTCACTACCTGCCGCATTCCATCGCGTACTAAAAGGTTCGGTGGCTCCTTTCTCTGCCGCACGGTTGACAAATGGAACTCCCTTCCGGCACATGTCTTCCCTCCCTCTTATAATATGGGGTCCTTCAAACGAGGCGTGAAGAGGCATATTGTAGGCAGGCAGGGTGGAGGTGGCTAGTGCAGCGAGGGTCTCATCGCTGCACTAGGTTCCTTCGCGTTTGGATACCACTTTCCACTTAACATCAGGTGGAGTGGAGTCATTTGCCTGTCATGTATAAAAAAAAAAAAAAAAAAAAATGTTATACCTGTTTTTTTTAAATTTACGTTTATATTGTTACAGCCTTTCTTTAAACTTTACTTCTTTAATAAATTTTGTGGACCGGAAGTTTCCCATTTCATTGCCGTGAACCTGTTCACGCCTAGTTAGGGTTACAACACTTTCAAGGTACACCCGCCATTCTGACTCTCACGATGTAATGCTATCTCTTTTGGCTTACGACGGCACGGAGTAGTTAAACAAAGACAACATGTTTATGTTTTCAATGTCGAATTGCATCATATGTATACATTAATCGTGTGGCACTGGTGTGGGACGCCACATGTGCCGACACACTTGTCTCATCCCATCTCCAGCACACCAACAAGAGGGCTGGCTCCGCAGCTGAGCTGGCGGAAAGAATAAAAAGTAATAAGTAGCAGGATCTCGGCTCCGACTACCTATTTACAGCCTTTGGAGTCGAAACCCTTGGCCCGTGGGGTCCCAGTGCCCTTCATCTGTACAAAATTTTATCGAAAAAATTTGCTGTCTGGGAAACCCAAAGGCCGGCAGCTACCTTGCCCAACACATTAGCATAGCAATACAAAGGGGGAACGCTGCCAGCATCTTGGGCACCTTGCCGCGGGGACCCAATTTTATTCATATAATTTAAAAATCCTAGTTTTACTTTCTAGTAGTTAAGTTTTTATTGTCTTTTTTACCTTGCCTGTATATTACCTTAAATATTTTTACGTTTCGATTTATACATGTCCAACATTACATGTCCTTTGGTTTCTATAGTCTAAGACCAAAACCAGAGAAGAAACAATTTGTAAATACCGGTTTCAGCGAAGAGTAACTTATTTTTAAAATATTAAATAAAACGCTATTTTATTGTTAATTTGGTTTTATTTGGGTGTACCAGCATTCACTACTATTGCGTTGTAAGTTTAATCAAATACATTTGATACTTGTCATTGGGGACCAAATATTTCAGGTTTGTAAGAATCTTAATAAATTTAATTGAAATATAGAGATATTTTACTATCATATTTCCCAAAATTGTGTAGGTGTTAGTTATTTACTTTCATGTGGCAATGTTTATGTTAAATCCTATGTCTTTCTTGTTAGGACTAGGCTCTGGATTGCACTCTGCAGCCTCCGATACCACAGCGCTTTCATAATCTGAAACAACACACGAGTTCGACAATGTTAGCATTATCATCATCGTAGTCTACTGCTGGGCATAAACTTCACCCAATGTGCACTATTTCGTCTGGGCTTACAGTAATCATAATAAACTTTAATTCTGCTTGAAGGAGCAAGATCACAAGCCAAGCTAAAAGGCGTTCATTTAACGCTTGAGTATCAGAACAGCTTCGTCTTACCTCAAAAATCAGTTCTGTATGCGGCAAATCGCGTTTTAAGAAATTACATTGAAAATAGTGGTACATTCCACACATCATCACTAACAAATGGTGGGATCGTAAGGTTTTATCATAAATTACCACTGAAACGCTTATTGTGCGTGTGTTGCTTAACGTAGTATTTGCAATGCAACGGTAACAGCAGTTTGCAGTTTACCCAGTTAACAGGACTTTGCATATTATACCAAAATAATGGTCGTTTCTCTCGTAACACCGTACCGCCTGAGCATTGCTGTGCGCCTACTACTCTTTGATCATTCACTTGTCATTTTAATAAAACTAGTAAATCGCGAAATTTTAGGGCGCTCCTTCACCGAGAACATTCGCCTGTAATGTAACATTCAAGATTCGTTTGCGCGCATTACATTACAAACTACCTCTCTTACCGGCGAGCATTCGCCTGTAATGTAACATTCAAGATTCCATTAGGCTGCGTTTCCTCCAGAGATGTGTGAGGTAGCAAAGAGTGCCCGCGAGAACCAGGAGCGCTTTGAGTGCCCGCGACTGCCTTTGAGTGACCACGAGAGCCATAAGTGCCCTTGAGTGCCTTTGAGTGCCAGTGAGTGCATTTGAGTGCCCTTGAGTGCGTTTGAGTATCTTGAGTGCCTATTAGTGCCCGTGAGTGCCTTTTAGTGCTTTTGAGTATCTTGAGAGCCTATGAGAGTCTTTTAGTGCCTAGGTACTCAAAGGCAACAAAAGGTACACACAGGCACTCAAACACACTTAAAGGTACTCAAAGACACTCAAGACACTCAAGACACTCAAGACACTCAAGACACACAAGACACACAAGACACTCAAGACACATAAGACACTCAAGACACTCAAGACACTCAAAGCCACTCAAACGTACCCAAACGCCTTTTACTGCCTTTGAGTAAAGGCACTAAAACTCAAAGGCACTAAGGCACTGAAAGGCACTCAAAGGCACTAGAGGGTACTAAAATGCACTGCAAGGTAGTTAAAGGCACTCGCGAGCACTAAAAGGCATGCAAAGGTGCTCAAACGCACTCATAAGCACTTACTCACTCAAACGCACTCCAAGGCACTCACTCGCTCAAACGCACTCAAAGGCAATCGTGGTCACCCAAAGGCACTCAAAGGCACTCGCGGCCACTCAAAGGCACTCGCGGGCACTCAAAAGCACTCAAAGGCACTCACAGGCACCTAACTTAAGTAAAAATTTGAAAAACATTTCTCTATATCTGGTGGAGACGCAGCCTTACAATCTGAACAGAATGTTATATTACAGGCGAATGATCCCGGTGAAGAAGGCTACCGAATGTTACAAGTGTTGCGCAGCGAATGCACGGCTCACCTCTTTCACCGCCTGTAGTGCTCGGTTTTGAACGTTACATTACAAGAGCATGTTCGCGGTGAAAGAGCGCCCTTAATGAGATATTTTAGAAACAAGTGCGACAAACATTCACGGATGACGAGGGACAAAGTGAATAGCGAGGAGAAGTTCAGTGGACGGCCAGGGGGAGTCGAGTACGCGGCGAGTCGTCAACCTTCTTGCCGCCTAGTATTACGGTTGTGCTAATCAGCTGATAGTGTGAGTATTGGTCTGATACTCAGGCCTCTAGTATTTCCTAGTTATAATTAAGAATATTTTCTTTCTAACCTTTATTCATTTGTACGTTAAGAATACGATGGTACAACTCGTTGAATTTTTTCTGCCGCTTCACGTTAGAAGGCGTGCGTATGACAAGAGTAGGCAATAAGATGTACTGTTCTAGATTAGGTTCCTCTTTCTGTCTACGTAGGGACGAATCTTTCTTGACGACGAGGCGAGGATGCCTCGGAGGTTTGGTGGTGCAACTGCTACCGCTAGCCTTCAGCTCAGGGGCAGTTTTGGGGTGCGTTTGCTCTACTTTTGGCGCAGACATCCTGTTTCTATCCGTAGTGTGGTAGCAACAAGTCGGTTCCCTGTTACCTGGTCCATGGGGAATAAGGTAACTCGGCCCCGGTGAACAGTCTTCAGCTCGATAACGGCGTCTTTGCCGCATGTCGGTAAACATCAAACGATCATGGCTCCTGTGACTTTTATGGTGATAGTCATCTTCCCAGCGCCTAGTTGTCATCATGGCACTGGCAGCGTTATGGTCGCAGATTGGAACTTCTCGCTCACCGTTGCAATCCTTTTTTTTATGGCTCGCCACAATGATGTCCCCAGTTTTGCCGACCGATCTACAGTTTTCGTTGCGATGATTAAGTTTTACGATCCTGTAGTGGCGACGTCTTCTGCGCTCGACGTGCGCCACTCGCTCGCGCAGCAAGCTATCGATAAGACGCTGCAGTTCGCCCCTGGTGCCGCCGCGTTCTGGTGGTGGGGGGTTGCGACGACCGAGGCGCGTATTAGGCCAGTGAGTTCGACAAACATCTTCCCAGATAATATCACTGAGAACACCTTCTCTAGATGGTGTTAACTTTATGCCATCGTCTCGAGGAGCAAATTCACCTTGTGCTAAATAGTGAACGGTGTCCATAAGACGGTAATCGCGCACTGGATTAAGTTTGTGCCGTATTTTATGCACCCTTTCGGCGGCCACTTTAGGAAACTCCTCCCTTTTGCAGGGCACGGAGGCACATTGACGTCTGCCACGCGCAGTAATACCATCGTAAGCTGTGAAATCGCGGCTGTACTGCTCGGAGTTATGTTCTTTTTCCAAATTAGTCGCTTTGCTCTGTGATATTGGAGAGAACTGTTGCGCATACCGCTGGAATGCCGAAGTTTCAGGAATGTGGCTGTACTGCTGAATGTAGCTACAGCCGGATCCCGATGCCGTTCTCATCTTGTACTCTTTACATTCTTCATCTGACGAAGACAATTGTATATTAGGATCAATGGAACGAAATACCATTTCTTGTCGTAAAATCTTACGTTCCAGGTGGTCAATTCTTTTGAGCAGCTTGTGAAGGAGATTATTACTTATAGGGACCGAATCTTCGGAAGACGTGTTCGTAATGATCAAAGTACCGATATCGACCTTGTTTAGGTCCACTTTCGATTTCTCGGTTTTAATCTGGACTTTAGGAAGGTTCATAGTAAACTGAGGTTGAGTATAAACATAGCATTTTTCTGCAGACTGTCTTTGGGCTTTGAACACATTTATCGATTGCCGGTGATCAACCTGGGTGCATAATGAAAGTTTCGGCGATCTCTCGACGTCTGTGGTCGAAGATAGTTCTTCACTTTCGAAATCACTTGAAACAAGAACCTTCTTGTCTGTGCCGCAAGCTACAGAGTGGAAATCGAACTCACCCTCGCTACTGAAATCTAAAAACATAAAAGTTCGATTAAGTATTCGATCATAAATATAATAAACAACGATAGTGCTACTTACATGTGGTAAAAGACGAGTGATCTCCTATGCCAAGTCTTGACCGAGAATACGATTTGTCAGAGCCCTGTGAAAAGCAGACAGTCTTACAATTCGTAATTCTTAGTGCGCAGCATACCTATTTGACATAATTTACGAGATACAGTACCTTTCTACAGTGGAAACGACTCTTTTCGGCAATGTAGAGAGTTTTAATGGCAGGAGCGCGTGGCTTTATCGATAAGAGAACTCTCTGCGAAGCTTGACGTTGAGTCGGAGATTTTCGAAATATTTCTAGATCTGCATCGAAAAAGTCAAATATACTATATTGTATATTATATACCAGTTAATCATCAAAACAATCATAAACTTGAGTTTACCTAAAAGGAATTCCTTTTCGGGGAAACGCGGTTGGTTCCCAGAGTTGCGGTCGCAATCTACTTCACGCATAAACTTCTCTTTTTTGATGGATATCAGCTTCTTCTTAGATGGAGACTGTTTAGTGTCCATCACATATTATTTTCCTCCTGCCCGGCATATTTACACTGTTTAATAGCCTGACAGAAAATAAAAAATGGCCAAAACAATAATTTAGTTTATTAGAAAGAAAAGAACAAGAAAATTTCACATTATTCTGACGTACCGCAATGATTGGCAATCTATGATTTTCTTTTTATTACTTTGGCAGAATTTATGCTACAAGTCGAACTCTTGCGAAACTGTCCATCAAGTTAGATTGTATTCAAAAAGATTATAGTCAAGCAAATGTCGATGCAGCAACATCGAAATCTATTCACATACACGCTCTGGTTACGGTGGTGCACAGGCAGAACTCTCCGGTGGACCGCAGCATGTATTGCTTGATTTATTTAGAACATCTATATATCATAATACCGCGAAGTATATAATGAATAACTGCAAAACATTCAAGATCCATGAAACGATTCTACTCTAGCACCGAAAAGCAAGCTGAAATGTTCAAGCTAATTTATAGAATAAACACTTCTTTGTAGCATGATTTCGAAAATGGAAAATACTGAAAAACAAGATAAACAGGCTGTCAAAATTTTGTAAGCGTGACGTTTCGCCCATTTGTAGATTTCAAAAAAATTGTTAGCCGATATTCTGGTAACAAATTAGTGAGGGTAGAAATTACGCATGGATGCTTAAGCCGTAAAAGATGTCGGAGCTAGAGAACAAAAACGGCGCTAACGACGGGAGCTCGTCAGTTGTGAAGGAGCTGGAGGGCAGAAGGAACAAGGCTCATAGCCAAGAGGAATTACCCGAACAGCGTCACTTACGCGCCCGGGCGCCCCCCGTGCCGTGTGAGTACCCTCACTGAGCTGAAGGACATTCGATTAGTTTATCATCAGATTTGACAGTGTTTTGACGAACATAGCTGTATAGTACTTTTGCTAAACATCTTTGATAAAATGATTTTGTTGTACAGATAACTCTAAGCTCGTTTTCTAAATATTAAATTCACGATATTTCCGAAACTGTGTGCTTTCTAGCAATCATAAAACCTCTGTAACAAGTCAAGTCACAGTGCCAGCAAGTAGTTGAATTGTGCTTCATTCATATAGGTATTATTTTGAAATTTGTTTTAAAATGTGCAACGTATTACTGCTAAGGAACGTAAATTATACCAGAAAAGTTATACGTTACAAAACGAAGTTACTAGTATTTAGTTAGGAGATATTTTAAATTAAAACGGGAGTTTTTGTTTGCAATGAAAAGAGAAAAGGGTTTTTATTCGGTGTTATATATTATTAGGGGTTAAAGTATGAAATTGCCGTTTCGCACTGAAAAATTAAAACATTTTTTTTTAAGATTAAATATATTTGTTTAATCAAAGTTTTTTCCCTTGTTGTCTATACATTTCTGCCATGTAATCGGAAGGTCATTTAAACCTTTGCGATAGAAGTCTGGAGACCTGGACTCCACAGCTGTGTGAAGGGATTTTTGTACTGCTTCCTGGGAATTTTATTTCCATACAAAAAAAAATCAAATTGCGGGAAAAAATGGTAGTCGGTCGGGGCGAGGTCCGACGAATATGTAGGATGATGGATAATTTATATCTGCAGGTCTTGTAGTAGTAAAACTGTTTCTCAAGCAGTGTGAGGTGTTGCGTTATCATAGAGCAATAACGGTGAAGCTGTTTTGCTGCGAGTTCCGTCGTCATTATTCAAACGCCATATGTCATATTGTGGGTATGCTAACATTAAACCATGACGTTTCGTGGTAGTTTGATACGGATCGGCTTCCATCATTACCTTCAATTCAACGTTATTTATATTTGTGACTGGTCTTCCTCGTGGTTCTTTCTTCAAGTTCTAATTTGCCGTATTGCCGACGTTTGCCGTATTTTCGTATGCCGTATCCTCTCCAAATACAGCATTGACAGTTTCTGCTACGTTAACTCCATGTGGAAATTCGTATTCGAAAATTAGGTACTCAGATTTTCGCTGTATCTGTCTTCACGTTAAAAGCTGAATGTAAAAACAATTGAAAGTCGAACAATCAAATATCATGTTTTTTAAGTTAAGCATGTTTTACTTTTCGTGTGAAAAACGTTTCACTCTGAAATCGGACACCATACAGGTTTAATTTTAATTTAAAGTGGCCAGTAAAATAAATCGGCAATTTCATATTTAAACCCCTATTATTAACATTTGATTTCTTTCAGCGGTCACAGAAGAAAACAAAATTGTCTTGGAAGATACCGTCTTAGTCGATGCAAAGGAGCGAAAGGAAGTCGATTATGGTGGGTGTTCTCGAATACGTACACTTATCTAGGGTGGTCATAATATTTATGTACAGTGATGTAGTACTATTTATTTACTTGAAATATCAAGAAAGAAGTAGCTTTCGTTTTTATTTGGTTTAAAGTAGCTCTGTGGGTGATAAATGTTAAAAATTTATTTATCAGTTTCCTCTGAAAAAACGAAGTATAATCTCGCGAAAAACTTATCTTCTACCACCAAGAGACGAGATTCACCCGAAGCTGTCAAAAAAAAGTCTCCGGAGTCGATCTTGCTGGCGCCTGTAGAAGTTGAAAGGGTACGATACATTACCAATAACTTTATTATTACTATAGCGTGCATATATTTATGTACTCTATCGGATGTTTGTCACAGAAAGGAACGTCATCACTGCAACCGATACCGTCAGACGTGAAGTCGGTGACGGCTGACTCTGTTAACCAACTCAAAAAGTCGGCAATGGAAAATATACACGACGTTGACGACGATAAAATAACGGAGGATACTGTCGAGATGCGGACCTCCGAACTCCCCACAAAACATTCTGAATGGGTAAATTTTTAAATGCGTTTGATTCTTTATTGGTTTGATATTTTAGTAAATAAACAAAAATCTGTCCCGTGTTCACAAAAGCAAGCTGATATAGAAGCGCGGCAGCCCGCACGCTACATCATTTCTCGATTAGACTAAGTTGTCTATGAAGTCCCTCGATTTGTAGTTGTCGCATGTATTGTAGCGTGTGTGCAGCGGCGGGGGCGAAGCGCAGACACACATGAGGCTTATTGTTGTTGTAGTCTGACGATGAGGAGGCGGGCGGGCTGCCGCGCAGCGACTCGCGCGCCTCGCGCGTCTCCCGCGTCGTGCGCCAGCTGTTCTGCTGCGGCGTGCCTTACGAGGCCCCCTCTGAGGAGGACATGTCCACCTCCCGCGGCTACGCCACCGGCATTTGAAGCCTCTACGCTCACACAATACCCGGCACCGCTCACCATGTCGCTACAGCTGGCCATTTTCGATCGTTGTGCTGGAGCTCTGGGATATATGGCAAGAGAGGTTGATGGACCGAATGATACGCTTGTGATCATCCATCTGCACAAAGAGACGACTTAATGTCGCGAAAAGGTCGCGGACTCGTTTGAAGCGCAGAGTCCATCCGGTAAACGATACGTCCAACCAGTAGTGAGCGCGGCGGTCGGGAATGGCCAGCTAGAAAGAGTGGTAACGTACTGTAAGTGAACATTACGCGTGTACTTAGCTATGTATATAAAATTACTAAAATGTTCTCCTCTTATAACTTGGAAAAATAGACGCCTATGAGGTAGACTGTAAATTCATGCAATCCTTAGTGACTTTTCTTTACAGGCGGGCTAACGTAATGTAATGTTTTCGTAAATATTTTATTATGCGCTGTCCATATTTCAAATACAAACATTATGTCGATTTATTAATATATTTCAATCTTCTTTATATATCGCATGACTCAATAGTTCTATTTTAGACAAACAAAATAATTAATTGTTAAGAATAAACTAATAGATTAGCGATATTAATGTACTTAGGTACTGACACAAAATTTATGTACTTTTTGGGCAAATAAAGTTCATGTTTCATTTGATATTTTAATTTATACTCAGTTTTACGAGTATATTATAATATATGTAATTAGGATCGACAGAATTGACAACTCTTCTTTAGTCAGAATTGTTGTCAATAAAGTAAGAAAAACGATAAGTATCACTTTTTGTTCGTTTTTTTTAAATAAATGGTTTAGTGAATTCACGTTCTGTGGTATAGAGTTGAATGCAAACCGTAATTCATACTTTTACATATCTATCGACGACTACTGTCGTACAGCTTCTTGCGACGCTGTTTTTTATTCATTTATCCCAAAACATTACACTCCATGTATCCACATGTGAAATAAAAATATCTCTCTCTTAAAACGTATAAAGTAAGCAAATGCTGCGCGCATTTTCAGACTTCTATGTCAGATATGAAGAAGCAGAAAACAAGCGGAGATTGGAACGACGAATGTATGCAAAATACAAAATCAAATGTAAGTATCGTATTCATCAAAGTAGAGGAAAAATGTCATTTTTAGATCCTCAAGAGTAATGTTTAGAAGTTATGTTTTGATTTTTTATTGGTTTGACAGTTTAGTAAACAAGCATGACCTATTTCGTGTCCACACAAGCACTATGATATCGACGCGCGGCCGCGCGCGCACATGTTCAATTGAATTGAAAAGAAGTTTGTTGGTTAACCGGTATAATGCCGTGATCACCTGCTCATCAGTATTGTCTAGTTCTGGATAATTCGGGTTGGCGATGGCGGTTGCAATATAACACAAGTATTCTTCTGGCTTTAACCATCAATGACATGGTTGCTTACTGCAAACCACTACTAATACTGTTTTCATTGTAGTAAGGTATTTTGGTTTTCGGAAAATTTGCAATACGGCAATAAGTTTGTATAACTTTGTAACGATGTTATGATGACAATTGTAGAGTTCGGAGGAAGAAGTCAAACATTGGGAGCTGGAGCGCAAAGCGTCTATCGGCCCTCGCTGGACGCGTACACCCAACTCTTGCGCATCCGGGATACTAATCAACGTACCGAGGGCTATTAAGGTAATTTTTTTAAATAAACCAATTTACTTAAGACAGTCATGAAAACCTTTATTAAACGCCATATTTAATCGCATAGGCTACGCAGTACAAAACTGCATGAATGCTGGGAAAGGCTTAGTGTTAACGCAAGCGTCTCGCTCCCAGCGTGATCGGTCATCTGGTATGGGAACAACCATTCATGATGGTGAGCATTAAAATCTCCCAGAATGGCTAGTTGCGCTGCTGGGTACCTAAGCAGAGCCTCATCAGACGTCTCACTTAGACGTTGGAACAACTTGGTCGTCTCCTGATCTCCACTGTGCGGCGGTAAACACAGCATTACACTATTTATGTAACTCCTGTGTCAACCAGAAGCCACAAAACAGTAAAACTCGGAGCCTGAAGGTTCTTGAGACGCTCGACACAGATGTTGTCACGAACGTACACGTAGACTCCGGCACGAGGTACGGACCTGTGCTTCAGACAGCTGGGGTAGCTAAGGTACACTGCGTCTGTCGGATATCTGACCTGCGTCTCAGTTTCAAGGTGGTGGTGGACCGAATCGAGATTTGAGCGGAAACCTCGGATATTAGTGAGGTGCACTTTTAGTGGGGCGTCTTCCCAACCGCTGCGTAAACTTTTTTCCTTTTTTATGACTTTCGATATTGTTTTGAGAAGTGAATAGGCAGGAGGAAGACAGTTGAACGAGGCACTGCGACGTGTTCAACCAAGTAGCAAACTCACACTGCCACACGAGGGTATAATCGGTTTGGAGACCGCGGGGACGTCCGAAACCCCCCGGAGATGGCCACCTGGTCCTCCCTTTCGGTCGTCAACCGGCAAGGTGGGGCATTTTTCGTTGGGTGGCGGGGCAGCCTTTCACGGGTGGCTTTCCCGCTACTTGTGCCCCTAACTTCCCACAGTCGGCCAGCAGTGCACCGTGCTTCGGATCCCGCTAGCCTCCAGAACCGAGTGCTCAGTGTGGCAGTACAAGCAGCTACAATTCGTCGTCAGACGCAATGCAACTGTTCAGACCCGACCTCCTAATGGCAACTCCCGAACACGAGTCGGAACACGGTAACAACCATTTGGCGACTCGACTACGTCGGAAGGTTGGTGATTAGCCACCGCCGAAGCCTACCACCAGTAGTTGTTACTCTTTAGCACCACTCGGGGGTCACTGTAGGGTATCGAGGGTAAACCTACGGAAGCGAGCAACATCAACCCCCAAATAATATATATATATATATATATATATATATATATATAAAACTGTAATTAATTGCAATTAAAAGCATTACGAGGTAGAAAGAAATATTGATAACCAACATATTAAACATTTTCTTTCCAGAAAATACCAAGAAATAAACCTGTTCCGACAACCACAATGTCCGGTATCACAATAACCGTTTCAAAGGTATAGTAACGTCAGCAGCACCAATTTTGCTAATTTTCTTGAAACCTGTAGTCTATTGTAATTCCATTGAGACACCACTGTGATTATATTGCAATTATGATAATATTTGCTATTCTGCTAAAATGTAGTTGCACTGGTAGTTGATGCTTAGGGTCGTATTGTAGAACTCTACTTAATGCTCAAGTCAGGATTTGAGTATGGTTTAAAGCACTCGAAATCATACTCAAGTCCCTGCCATTAGGGTCGTATTTCCAGTGCTTGTGTTTCCAGTGCAATCCTGACTTGAGCATTGAGTAGAGTTCTAGAATACGACCCTTACAGTGGTTAAACACCGCGATTAAAACGCTACGCTTGCCATTTATAGACGATTGCATCGATGCATACAAGCGACTGCATCGATACAAATGCACGGATGCATCGATACAAACGCGCAATTGCATCGATGCAATCGCCTATAAATCCCAAGTGTAGCTATAAAATCGCGCGTTTGTTTCGATGCAATCGAGCACTTGCATCGCGTTTGCATCGCTGTTAAAAGTCGTCGTTTGTAACCGCTCTTTATGGAGTGTCAGTGGAATGGCAGTGATGGCATTCATTCATTCAATCACTAACGATCGGTGTTGTCTTACTCAAAACCACCACGTAAATCTTCATTTTCGGCTCGTTTATTCGGCAATTTAGTCTCCAAATCAAATATATGTGATATTAGTACACCGCTGGTGAAATTACAGGCACATGGGCCTTTCAACCATGGCAGTACCCCTAAGATCTTTACGATTTAAAGCTCTGAGTGGTTCTGCAACTATTGTGGATAGGCGTGGCGTGTACCACCAGACGCACGAGTTGTTCGTCCCGACGGGCCATCGACTCGTCTTTGAAGAGCAGAATACCAAAAAGTTTGTAGTTAAATTGCAATGACGCCCCTATACGGTAAGAATGTGGTAGTTGGACCTTCCGCTTCATTTAACATAATATTGATTGCCGCTAACAGATGGCGTTGTACTTAAAATACACACATGCTATCAAACCAAAAAATATCAAAGCATATAAGAACTGGACATGTTATGCAAACAAGAAACAACCCACACCTCGAGTGAAATTGAGTTATGTATTTAGGTAGAACACCAGACGTGTCTTTTACCCGCTCACAAAAGATCCTGGCAACATACCAAACCAAAACGGAGAAAATAAAAGTCCTTCAGGGTACTAACCCTAAATAAGTAACTTTTTAATAGCTAAAAAGAACCTTGCTGCTTAACTTCATATAATGTCTTTTTTTAAATATGCTAAACGGATCCATGTCACAAGTGCTGAAGTACTGTAGATCTTTGGCGTTTTCATTACGAAAACTAGAACATGGTTCTCGTTAACTAAATAAAAAGATACATAATGTTTTCTATTTATTGCTATATAATATAATAAATTCCGAATATCGTTCTCACTGCTACAGTACATCGTTTGTCTTAAATAGAGATGCGCCGAGTACAAATTTTACCGAGTAACCGAGTACCGAATATTACTCGGCTTAGCATTTGCCGAGCCGAGTACTCGGCCGAGTTTACTCGGTTCATTACAACCGGAACGCGATGATCCTAAAAGCCCCCGTTGCTCTAGAATTAGGACGATATGTCAATGAAAGTTTATAATAAACTTCTGGCGAAAGGGTACTATGCTGTCGATGAGTACATGAACGATAAAAATGCCTGGAGTTAACATTATATCGTTTTGTATCCTACTTACAATTTTGTATGAATTGTTTTATTTAATTGTCTTTTTTTGTAATCTCTTGTGAGTCAGGTTTATTTGAATAAAACTTTATTTAAAAAAAAAATTTAAAACATTGTCGCGAGAGCAGAGTCCTTTCCAATGGTGGGCAGAGCATAAAACAAAATATCCAAAACTGGCACAGTTAGCACGAGTGTTTTTATGTGCACCTGCAAGCACTGTGTATAACGAGCAGGTATTTGCCGAAGCGGGTAATGTGTACGAAGAAAAAATGAACAGACTATTACCTGAACGCGCAGAAAGCCTTGTAAATATTCCTACAGCATGACTTGCTTAGTTAAATTTTAAATATTAATAATGTAAACTTTCTTTTTAAATTACTAAATTGCTAGAAATTGTTACAATTGTCTACAATTTCTAGTAAGAAATGTCTTTTGAATATATAAAATATATTGTTGATTTTACTTTATTATGTTTATAGCTGTGATACTGTATTTTAACCGAGTACTCTTCTCATGAACCGAGTTATTCGGCCGAGTACTCGAGCAAAAGAGTACTCGGCGCATCTCTAGTCTCAAATAACTTACCTATTTATTTCTTCACACTGTTTTTACAAAAATTTAATTATCTCGAATGTGACATTTTGTGGGTTGGTTATAGTTTGCATAACTATGTCCAACTACATATCTCGTAAGTATCGTGCTCGATGGTAGACAGCCGATTACAATACAATATAAATTAATTTGTCAAAACCATGTCAAAACAGAGGTCTGGCAACGTAACCCACGAACGCAAGCTACGCAGCAGAAGTTTTCAACGTTGCAATTTTACTAAATAATCAAGGACGCAAACAATAACTTTATTTTTGTTTTGAATAATTTGTGTTTTAGGTTCTAATCCAACCAAAAAATCTTTTTTTTCCTCACCTAATGGCTAAATTTGACTTTTTTTAAATATTTTGTTTTGATTTCAACGAATTGGTGCATTATATTTAATTTTTTTTGGGTATGATATTTTTTCACACTGTTAAGTGCCTGTCCATAATTTGCAAGCAAATATTTAGCTCGTACTTTATAAGGCGAAAGTTACTTTTTACTCCTAAATTTATTATTTGTCTTTTATTTAAAACAAATAAAGTGTCAGGATCAAGATAAGTACCATTTAGATAACCACACCAAATTTGGTAGTAAGCAAGTTTGGTTTGCCCGAGAAAAATATGTCAAAAAATAACCACCAGAGTCTCACTATAATCCAGTTTTTGTATTACCTATGACAATAAGCAATATTCTACGATTTTCAAGCCACACTTCAAGATACGTGTTACAGAATGTACTATTTTCAAAATTCCACGTGCTATGTTATCGCCTAGAAGCTTACACAAAAACACCATATTTCAGCGATTTTGGGCACCTCATCGCCTTAATAGATAAATACCTTTTCTTTGTGTTAGACTGCCTTTCCACCAGCGATGTGCGATGGAGAGAGCCGATGCGAGGATGTGTAGCGGCGCGGCGCTGCGAAGCGGTGTCGTGTTTTCCACCAAAGCTGTGCAAGAATGCATTACGAACTCTATTCAGCTATACGCGGGCGGGGTATGGTGTGGTGGGGTGAGCGGTGGCAATATGTCAGTGTCAGTTAGTGTCATACTTTCAGTAGCTCTAGCTTCCTACACCGTTTTGCACACATTCCTCGCCCGTATCCCTCCCACACATCTCTCGCACACATTTCTCGCTATTTTATATGTACAAATACTTAGCTCCGCTAACCCTTTTCCATCGAAGCTGCGCTACGCAAGGCTAGGAAAATAAAGTAATCCTATTGGTGGATTTTTTCCTCGCACACTGCTTCGCTACGTCGCACATCTCTGGTGGAAAGGCACTATAACGCGGTGACGAGGTTGTTCTGTTCATAATAGAAGTCACTGATGTCCGCTTCGATGTCTGCGTCGGTTCCATTGACACCGGCTAAAGACCAATATGTTTGCTTCCGAAATACTGAAACTCGAGCAGTTAAGGTATGCCATAACTACCTATTTATTAGTTACTACCTGTATGGTGAAAAAACAGGCACATGGGATATATCAACTTGCCTCAAGGTGACGGGCGCAGTGGTAGTGCTTTGTTTGTAATTTAAAGCTCTGAGTTACTGTTATGAACAGGCGTGTAGCTTACCATCAGGTGCACGATTTGTTCGTGCCGTCACTTGATGTAATAATAAAAAAATACAATTAAAGAAACGTATAGTATGAACTGACTTTTATAGCACAAAAATAGCAATTATCATATGGTAGGTAGTACATACATAGGTAGCAACTAATAACATTATTAGTCGTTACAATAAACTTAGAAAATAGTCGTGTATAGACTAATTGTAGCAGTAGAGTTCCTTGTAAGAAAGACAGTTCGTCTAGAGATGTACTTGCTGCTGTACTA